GGAAGCCAATAAGCAGTGTTTCTTCTGGGAGCATGTCTTCATTGCACTCTCCAGATTCCTGCATTTCTTTCCTTGACTGTATGAAACCCATGAGCCAAATCAGCTCCTGCTTCCCACTTTGCTCATGGTCTATGGTGAATCACAACAGAGTAGCAAGCTAGGCCTATTGGACATCTGAAACAGGTAAAAAATCTCCTCGAATCTCAGATAGTAAAAATGAACTCATGTTTCATTTCAGACCAAGGAAACAGCTGAATAGGTAGAACCCAGTGTATTTATTTTGAAGAACTGATGTATACTGAGCTGCAAGGCAAGTGTTTCCTTAAGTGGAAAATCCTTAAAAAGACTGTGAATGCAAGGAGAACCTGAATAAATGTTAGATTGTTTAAACTTTTTTGAAAGATTTTTTTTTATTAGAACAACTCAGCAAAATAAAATTCCGGTTTATTGTTGGATGTTGTTTCACACATACATCAAACAGGCCAAAAAATAAAATAAAATAAACAGCAACTTCATAGACAAACAAAGAAAGGAAAAAAAAAGAAACCTTTTATCTTTGACCTTTTTAACCATCTCATGCAAACAAACTACTTATAGTATAGCTAGGTACATACAAAAAAAAAAGTTACTGGAATGCTCAGAATAAGATTGCTTTTTGTTGTTGTTTTTCGTTTTTGTTTTTTTTTAACTAGTTTTTTTTTTCTTCTCCTTTGAGATTATAATGAACATGATCGCACCACAAGTAAGGTCTGAAGTAGGACAGAGAACGCTCTGAAGTCTCGTTTGGTCACCCTTTATCATTAAAGATTGCCAACCCTTAACAATATGTACAAAATTATGAAATGTAAATAAAAAATACAAACAAATTTTCCTTTTAAAATATTTTTAAGAAAAAAGTAGGGCCTTGGAAGTTTTGGTTCCTTTATCCTCCCCTGTTGCAAATTCATGTGGTTTTGGTGGAGTGGTGGAGAGTGCCATGTCATGTGTGGGTGGGATTGCCCGCTGTGGG